AGTTAATCTAGAAAAGAAAAGAAAGAAAGGATGGACGAAAAAATCCACCAGCTGCTCGGCGTAGGAAAAACAACTGTCAGGTAAGAATTGTACAAACCTGATAATTTAAAAATTGTAGGCTTAGGAGAGAAAACAAACCTGTTGTCTTGATGTTAACAATGGAATATGATATTGGGTTTGCAGGAAATTATTGTGTCGTATATATATTTTATTAAATAGAATTCAATATTTTAATTATTAAATATTGGTTAATAATGTTTGGCAACACCTACTCTATTGATCACGTACTAATGGCCTAAATAATTAGAAAGAATATTGGCGATGAATTGAAGATTTCATATTGCAACTTTCAGGTAGACAATGAATTGAACATTCACAATTTTTTTTTCGTTTTGATATTTTGTTCTTTACCCATATTCATCCCTTTAGCCTGTGTTTAGACGTTTACTTGCTGAGTACTGTGTGCTTTGGTACTCACCCCTTGCTTCTACAAATTTTTGTAGGTTATGAGTCTGGATTTTTGTTCTACTTGTCATTCTTTTCTTTTCCGAGGCTTCTTGGATATTTGTCAGGTAGTTGTTTCGATCGCAGCAAACTTTCTTCTCCTTAATTATGATCTTGTTCTATTCTAGAAGCAAGTTCATTTGAGACTTGATTTTTCTTTTGAATCAATTGTAATACATTAGAGGCTTGTACACGTGACTACCAGGTTTTGGGGTTTTAATTAAGTTACTTATATTTTATTTTCGCAGTTATTGTAATGGTTGAGTTTTAGGCTGACTTGTCTTGGTGGGATAAGACGAGTGTCATCACGTCCATTTTTGTGTCGTGGCAAAATGGTATCAGAGCTCCAGGTTCATAGGTCTCACGTCTGTACAAGTCGAGTCTAAATAGAGTCCTGATGATCGGTACGGAGACGTCTATACCTATCTTCGAGAGGATATAGTGACTTTTAGGAAATATCTTCACTTCTTGGATCTATATTGTGTGTACTTGGTCTCATTTTGATTCTTATCGCTTCACTCCATTCGGTCTCGTTTATGTGATGACTCGTGCATAGTTTCTTTTGTGAATCATTGGCATGTCATGTATTAATTTGATGTTAGATCTGGTATTAAGGTTGAAATGATATACTTATGAAACGAATGTGTGATCATATTTGAAAGAGTTGAGTAAGGTTAGTTATCATTGTAAATATATTCTCTTAGCACAAAGAAAGGAGATGATACGAACTGGGGTGGAAGTATAGTCACCCTCCCACACTAGCGGATCTGTCCCAGGCTTGGCCAATGTAACAGTTTTAGCATTACAATCTAAGATTGCAAAATTTGGAGAAAGCCAAGTCATACCCAGAATTACATCGAAATCAATCATTTCTAGGATAATCAAGTCTACATGAGTATTGCTCCCCATAAAAGTCACAAGACAAGACCTATACACCTTCTCAACTATCACAGACTCACCCACAGGAGAAGAGACACGAATAGGCATGTCAAGCAAATCACAATGTAAATCAAGACCAGTAGCAAATGAGGAAGATACATATATGTGGATGCAGGATCAAATAATACGGAAGTCATGCAATTACAAACCAAAAGACTACCTGTGATAACAGCATCAGATGTCTCTGCTTCAGACCTCCCGGGGAAAGCATAACAATGGGCCCTATCACTTGTCTGCCCGTTGCCCCTACCATGTTGTGCTGCAGCGGTTCCAACTTGTCCGCCACCTCGGCTGATTTGGTGACCACCATAACCTTGACCAACGCGTCCTCCAGAATGGCGGCCTCTACCATGACCACCTCTACCCCTAATTATTGGGGGTTTATAACTATATTTTGGACAAAACCTCCTAATATGTCCAGTCTCTCCACATCCATAACACTCTCTGGAGTCAAGCATAGGCCTCTGTGAGAACGACGAAGTCTGGGGATAACCTCCAAACTCAGTGAAATGCTGACCGTTCTGCGGTGGACCCCCGGCTACAGCCTGCAGTGAAGACTGAATAGGTCGGGCTGGGTAACCTCCTAAACTCTTCCCTCAGGAGTAAGAACCACTAAATTCACCTCCTTTACGAAACTTCTTAGATGTCGATGCCATGGTGAAGTCGTCTGGCTTCACTCCCTCCACCTCTATCACAAAATCTACCAGTTCCTGAAAGGATTTTGCTGCAGCAGCTACCTGTAAGGCTAGGATCTGCAAATCTGACCTCAATCCTTTCACAAATCGGCGAATCCGCTCTTGTGAACTGAAGCAAAGCTGGGCGGCATAGCTGGATAGTGCACGAAACTTAGCCTCATAAGCAGTAACCGACATCCTGCCTTGCCCTAGGCTTAGGAACTCATCTCTCCTCCTATCCCTCAAAGTCTGGGGTATATACTTCTCCATAAATAGTCTAGAGAATGATGCCCTCATCATAGGTGGTGCCTGTGTAGGTTGACACTTAACATACGACCGCCACCACATTTTTGCATTTCCCTGAAACTGATAGGTCACAAACTAAACACCGAATCGTTCCACTATGTCCATCTTATGTTGCAGTTCATGACAATCAACCAGAAAATCATAGGCATCCTCAGATTCAGCACCCTTAAAGACTGGAGGTTTCAATTTCAAGAACTTAGTGAAAAGTTCATATTGATCACTCGTCATTATAGGCCCTGTAGTCAATCGAGGAAACGTGCCTACTCCCAATGAGGTATCCATGCGGGGAGCCACAGCAGCTGCATGTTGTACTCCCGAAACCTGAGGTGCTGGTGCAGAAAACAATGGAGGTGTCTGGCCTTGATCAGATAAACCGCTAAGATAAGCAAGAACCTGGTTAATCATCTGTGGGGTAGGTTTGGCTGGTAGTTCCTCATCTTGCAATTGCTCATTTTCCCCTTCCTCACCCTCTCTTACTACTTCATCAGTCGGTGAAGGAGTTACCGCCCTAGTACTAGCTGGACCAGATGTTTATCCTCTACCTCTAGAGGACGTCCTTCCGCGACTTCTACCACGGCCTCTTGCCACTGTTCTTCCTCGAGCTGCAGCCTCTGTGGCTGGCTCACATGCACCCTGTCTTGCCGGTGTTGGTGATGGCACAGTTGTTGCTCTAGTTCTAGTCATCTGCGAAATAAAGTAAGGATGTCAGATACCAATTTGTATCACCTAGATACCAATTGGATCCAAGTAATAGCACGAAAGGAAGAAAGAATAGAATTTTATTAATATAGCCAGTGGCACCCACACTTATCCTCCTATATGAGCGAACCAACAAATCTAAACCCCAACATTCACCAACAATTCAACCATAATGAACAAAATATAATGCGGAAGACTAAAAATCTTATTAATATAGCCAGTAAATAAGCTTCTAAAGTTTATCAACTATCATTCCCAAAATCTGGAAGTCATCACACCAAGAATATCTATTCTCAAGTTTCTAATTCTACGAGTATTTAAGAAAATTAAAATAAGTAAGCAGATGGTCCATGTTCGAACTTCAAGACATCAAGACGTGAAGGAGAGAATCCAGCACGAGCTAGGAACAGTAGCTCACCCTGAATTCTGATATGCTGGAGACTGGCTAGAGTTGAGGGCGAGTCGAAGTCGATGGCGTAGTTGCTGCACTCCACAAAATAACAAAGATGAAAATACAAGTAGGGGTCAGTACAAGGAACACGTACTGAGTAGGTATCATTGGCCAACTCAAAATAGAAAGCAGTATATATCGAATAATAATATAAAATCAACTACCACTCTTAACTGGTGACAACAACAAGTACAAGAATCATTGGCAACAACACCAAACACACCCATGAGGACTCAAGACTCCATACCATACTCATTTGGGAAAAAGGTTCTTCGAATTGAGTATATTAACATGATTCAAGATTCATTCTCTTTATTATTATCGTGTCTGAACGTGATACTCCGATCCCCTAATACTACGTGTCGGAACGTGACACCCGATCCCCTATTTCTATGTGTCGGAACGTGACACCCGATCTCCTATTTCTATGTGTCGGAACGTGACACCCGATCCCCTATTTGTATGTATCGGAACGTGACAATCCGATCCACTAATCTCATTACTTTAGTTCATCAAGCCTGTTATATGTCAATACATCATCTTAATAGAGAGGGATAAGATTTAGGATTCCACAATCACAACATACAAACACATAATCAAGCATATAGAAGACTATACAATACTACCCAATACATATCAATCGCTATTTGGAGTTTACTATGACATAGCATAAACCATAACCTAGCTCCACCGAAGAATTGTGATCAAGCAAGCTACTTCCCAAAGCCTTTTTGCTTTTCCTCTTCGTTTCTCTCTTCTCTCGCTCGTTCTCCCCTCTTTTTGTTCTTTTTATTTTTCTTTTACAGATTCTTTTTCTTTTACCCTAATTATCATATAATCAAGTATCAAAGATGATAAAAGTAACCCATTATTCATTTTAAACGTTACCTCCTTTAACCCCCAAGTAATTAAATTATTAAACTTACCCCATTAATTTCATACACTTTGTCATGAATAGTCGAAAACACCCCTTAAAACTTCTTAGCAGAAATCTGACCCAGTCGAGGTTACGCCACTTGTGATGGCCCGTCGTACCTGCGACGGCCCGTCCTGCAGGTCCGTTACAAAGTTCAGAGAGTCGAATTCATTAAAGAGTTTTGTGACGGTCCGTCGTATCTAAGACGGTTCGTGGTGCAATTCCGTCGCGATGTTCAGGGAGTTGATACCATAACCCACAGGAAAATTAAACAAGTGTGGGATGACGGAGTCCATGACGGTTCGTCGCGTGATCCGTCGACCCAGTCAGTTTTATCACAAATGATTCTACTACTCGAAACGACTAACAAGTCGTTACAGATTATGACAAAGAAGAGTTGTAAGAGTAATGGAAAATCACAATAAAAACATTTATTCCTCAATAAGTTTTGAATGGAAATGAACATCCACACTTCAATTGTAAATTACATACCAAACAAATAATTAAATTACAAATAAAAATAATTGCAAATATAATTTGTAAACATCAAGCCCATTTTAGTCCTAGTGTAATAAGAACTACACTAAGATAATCAAATATAAAAGCAGATCTAAAGAGTTGTAGTGTATGATCACTCCAAGGAGAATATCTAAACCAAATGTCTGTAAGAAAGCTCCTTCTTGCTATTGCTTTTTCATGGCTAAATGTATCAAACGAAAATTTTCCATGGTATCTTCCAAAGCCACTTTGTCCTACTCCTCCAAATGGAAGTGTATCAGCTGCATACTGCATTTGTATGTGTAGCAAGTCATTTTGATGATTAGTTTGATCATTAAATCATAATGAAAATTGGTGTTATAAAGAGCAATATTATTGAGAGGGGGTTCTAGAATTACATATTCTTAATGTAATTTACTTATTTTTGAGTGTCATGTTATATATTTGATTAAAATTATAAAATTGAAATAATTTACTTTTTAGCTAATTTGGTTAAAGTTGGATGACCTCTTATATACGTGACAAAAATGGAAAGATGACTTTTGTGTAATAAACTTAAAAGTTGGAGGACTTTTATGTGATAAAAAAAATAAAAAACTAATATTTGACTCTGAATACATATTTGAATCTTTAAAGTGTTGTCTTTAGATTTTAATATTTCATGATCAATATTGTTTTTTTCAACATCAAAATATGCATAGTTTATTTACGTTTACATATAATAAATATATTATTGAAGTTGAATCTTACAAAAAATATAAAATTAATATACAAAATTATTATTTAATTATAAAAACTATTTGTGTTTGTAAGCGATGATAGAGATGATGTGTTGTGGTGATGGTTGGTGCTAGTGGCATTTAACAATTATGGTGATTATAGTTGCGATGGTGGAGGTGTTTGGTTGTAGTGACGTCGCAATAGTGGTAGTTGGTTGTGCCAGTTACAATGATGGTGAAGTTGATCAATTTTAGTAGTTGCAATGGCTGAAGAATGTGTTGTGATTGATGATGATATTGATAGTAGTATTGGCCTTGATTGAAGAATGTGTGATGATTGACAAGGACATTGATGATAGTTAATAGTGCTAATTATAAAGGCAAAAGTGGTTAGTAATTGGAAATGACCGTAGTCATAGAAGTGGTTGATGGTGAGAGTGGTAATGACACTAAATATTACTATAATAATAAAGGTGGTAAATATAATAGCGACTAATAGTAGTGATTGACAGTTATGGTGATTGACTAATTGCAATGGCAAAATGGTTGGTGGTGATGGGTAAAGACGATGGTGGTGATTATTGACAATGGAGATAGAGATTGTGACAACAAAATATGGTTAGTAATGGTGTTTGATAGTTAAGAACAAAGTCATGGTAAAAATTGTTCAAGATCCTAATAATTAAAACAAATTGAGACTAAATAAATACTTAAATAGTACATAACCCAATACATTAACTAACCTTAAGTCTCTCTATGTAGCAAACTCACATTACTTCATAAATGTGAAAAAATAAAAGTGAATTAAAGGGAAAAACTTACCTGAATGATTGTATCATTAGACACCAAACTTCCTGAAGAGGTTCCTTTTGTAATCTTTCTTTCGAACTCTTCATTTTTGATAAAGGAATATATAGTAAGTGGCTTAGGCATTGCATTGATAAATTCAATACTGTCCTCAATTTTATCCAACTAATGACAAAAAAACAAACAAAATTAACCTTAATTACAATAAGTATTGCCCTTTTTGTCAAAAATAAAATGTGGTGTACATTCTAGTTATTAAATTTTTTATGACCAATACCTAATCCTCTACATTTTAAAATATATATATATATATATATATATAAATAAAATATCGTTCAACTAATAAGTTGATGTTATAAAATAAGTTGATATACCATCATTATACATTATAATTCAACGTCAATATTATTTTTGACAAATCAGAATAAACTTATAAAAATATATATTGGACTTGTAATAGAGGTGCAATATATTGAAGGTTACTATAAGGCTTAAATAAAATTATATTATAAAGATAATCGAAATGACAAAGAAGTTTAAGTTGTTAGAAAAAAGAGTAAACGAAGTGATGTGCAAGGGAAAGACAAAAAGAAAACACGATTTCACAATTCATGATTTTAGTTAGAAAAGGGATTATTTGTGAAAATTTATAAACGAAATTAAAAATATATTCTTCAATTTTTTCGTTTAGTATTTTGAACCTTGAATTATGAATGTTTTTATGCCTTCGAAAAATAATATTATAGTGTATATCTTACTGTTATGATAGGGAGCAATGGGCCAAAAATTTCATCAGTCATGATTGTAGATTGCAAAGGAGGATCCAGTAATACTGTGGGCTCAATGTACCGGCATTTACACATATAAATCATTCAAAATATTAAATGCAATATTGTTGGCAACTTTTAAAATAACACAAGATAATAGTTTATACTAAATATGTGTTGTTTTGAATGAAGACAATAGTTAAAAAAAAAAAACTGATTGTGGGGTTTGATTTTGGTTATTGAAGAAACTTTTCTCAAGGAATATATTTTCTTATAACAAGAGGAGAAATTGCTTTCCTCACTTATTTATAGTATATTATTATGCATTATATTAATTCATCTCATTAATACTTATATTATCAATATTAATACATAATTGACTATGTAATTGCGTAATTTTTCATCAAATATATGGGTCTTTAATTTTTCCCTTTGAATAAGTTGGTCTTGAAGTTTTGTTTTTAAAAATTCAAGTCATGAAATATTGTAATGCGTTATTTGCAAAATTAAGTTGGTCTTTAAGTTTTGTTTTTAAAAATTAAATTCCTAAAATATTGTAATGCATTATTTGCAGAAATTCTTAAAGACATTTGACTAAAAATATTATTTTTATTATTTTGACTCATAAAATTAATAAACATATATAGTGTAATAAAGCTATTTGTCTTGAGAGACAACTATTAAAAATCAAACACTAAATAAATTTTTAAAAAATTTTAAATGACCCAAATTTGACTTTAAACATTATCTAATTGATAGCTCTATATGATTAAATAGTATTTATAAGCATATATTTTTAGAAAATACTTTTCATTGATCAAACAATGCACTACATTTCCCAAAGATCATTTTATGAGAACAATGTGTTTTTTTCCTTATATCTACACTTAAATGTAAAACTACAACAATATATTCAATATATATTCATAAAAGTGATATTTTGATGAAGATAAAGTGCACTCAGATGTTATGATCATTACATTAGAGATAAAAATGTTAATTTCGATTAACCTTTAATTCTTTAATATAAAAACTATAAAAATTAAAATTACTCACCAATTATCTTCATCAGATGATCCTCCGTATATAATTGATTTTTTTACCATTGGCTCATCTAAGAGATTCTTTAATCTCAAAAACTGATTTTTCTTAACTATTCTTGAAATTGAATGTGATTCTTTTGGATTTTCTCCAAGCATTTTTGGAATCCAAGGTTTAATCAACTTTACCTAGTGCAACATTGAAAAGAGAATTAATTATTAGTATTTGATGACAAACCAATACATATATTTATCAAAATTAGAACTCATGAATTTTTTTTTACTAAATAAAACATAATCACATCAAAATTCAATAAGTACAAGTTCATTGACAAACGTCTTGTCGACGAGGATATAATCAATCCCAATACATACTTGGCCAGCACAATTCCCAAATTTTCCAGAAAGAATTCTTTTCATTGCAATCTATGAGAAGTGAAAGAAAAAAAACCCAGATATTTGATAAAATTAGTATAGGATAAATAAAATTATTTTTTTAAAAAAACTTTGTTGTTAAACTGTTTGAAGCAAATCGTTTGCATTAAAAGTTTAAATATAGTTAGAAATAGCGGAGATGACATATTGGTTTAGTACTATTTTTATATTGGGGGATTTATTTTTTTCTTGAAATAAAATCGTAAAAAAGGTATTTTGTTGATGATTGGCAATAATATTTCAGCAAAATATTTTGAATTTTCTTACCATGCTTTAAATTGTTAAAAATAAGGTACTTTATTTTTCCAATTTCTTTCTCACTTATTCAAATATATCTAAAACTCAAAAGTATTTTATGCATGACGTTTAGTTTTCCCTTTCTACTATCGACACGCTAGCATATTTTAATTTATTGGCCTTTCGTTTTCATTTGATCTGGCGGAGGCGCTTCTATATTTAACTACTATTGATTTAGATCACATATTGACACGTACATGATGCGATGATTTATATATGTGTACTATTTATATTTTTATTTTTAGAATATAAGGAAATTTAAATAAAATTGAAAATAGAGAGAAAAGAATGTTGAATTTACCTTTTTATCCCAAGAACTTGAGAGTGAATCAATGATAGCACGGCATTTTGCCCCCAATTCAAGGGTCACTGGAGTCAAATGCTTGGCTGCAGCACCCATAATAATTTGAGCCATTTTTGGACTCCCTATAAATTTTTTGAAAATATTTAAAATTAATTAATTTTATATAATTATTTGTAATAAAATAAACAAACTAATATAGTATTCTTATTTATTTGTTACTTTTTTTCCACATAACTGTTAACATATGTGGAGCCATAAAACAAGGGCTTGGGCAACTTTCACATATAGCAAACAAAAAATTCATATTTGTATGTTATAGCAAACTTTGGATAATTGGTACAAAGCAAACATAAAAACTGTATAATTCGCTATACATATACAAATGTATATTTCGCTGGCCTATTTCGCTGCAATTGTATAATTAGCTTTGCATACAGTTGAATCGAATTAAAATGTATGTATATTGCATAATTATAAGTGTATAGCAAGAAGATATATGTTTTTCACGCTTTATACAAAAACAGAAACACAATATATACACTTCTGTCGTATAAAGCTAGAAAAAATTGTATTTCACTGTAATTGTATAATTCTTTGGCCTTTTTATCTGCAATATTTGAAGTAAAATGTTTGTAAATTATATAATTAAGTATATAATACGAAGATATACATTTTTGCATGTGTATATACAATTTTCTCTCGCTTTATACAAAACAGAAACAGAAATTATACATTTCTGTGTATAAAGCGAGAGAGGCGAGAATGGGAGAATGGCGAGCGAGACTTCTGGGAGAGAGACGCCTGACAAATTTTTGCCAACGTTTGCTATGGAGCACAATTAAATCAAACTCTAGCTATTCCATTTAATTTAGGTTATTAGTTTGCTATTATATACAATTTTCCCATAAAACAATCATACTCTAAGAAGTTGGCCTATTAAATGACATAAAATAACCATAATTTATGATATTTACGTCTAGTAGCCCATGCTCTATATATCAGGTTATAAAATTTTTGAATTTAGGAAACTAAATAAATCTTCCCCTAAAATAAGATTAAATTTTCTATATTTTTACATATAAATTGTATTAAAATGGCATAATACATGAATATGCCCTTTACTTGACTTTAAATTACATTTAAGTCCTTCAATTTTAGGTGTGCACAAGTAGACACTTAAACTTCTATACAGTTGAACAAATAGACGCAAATTTCCTACATGTCATTTTTTGTCCTACGTGGTGTCCTACGTGTAATGTGTCGCGTAGGAATCGTGTATCTATTTGTTCAAATTTATACAAGTTTCAGTTCTACTTGTACATAACCAAAATTGAATGACATAAATATGAAATCAGGTCAAGTTAAATAGTACGTTTATGTGTTATGCCTATTAAATTTATATCATTCCTTTATATATATATATATATATATATATATATATATATATATATATATATATATATACACTAATTGTCCAGGTCATCTAAGTTACTAGATTAATCCTCAAATGATTATCATAATTTTCTATATTAAGTTCTCGATCACCATCATTTTGCTCAATTAATATTATAGAAATGTATTAGTCTTTCTCATCTCATGCTGATGTGTTTTATTTAGGTTTGACATGTAAAATCTCCCCGGGGTTCACCACGAATCCATCCTCACGCATATCGAAAGGTCCATAAAAACCCAAATGTTTTCTATCTTTATTTCGAGTCAATAAGTCCATAAAGATCGATGGATGGGTCCCAGAATATAAAAATTGAAGATATTCGGAGATGATAGATTATAAGGCCAATTTTATTTCATTTTTTTGCATTTTATATTGTATTTGTTTTCGCGCATATGCCCTTGTCGTCTTACGTTACTTTATTGATTTTGTGTAATTATTTGTTTAGTTTAGGACAATTACAAAATGGGTCAAAACCCAAAAAGAAAATGGGTCAAAAACCCAAAACAGGTGGGTCCAAATTCTGGTCCAGGCGAACAGAAAAATCGGATTTTGACCAAAGTCTCTCTCTCTTTCTCTCTCCATCTTTGCATGCTTTTAATTATTTTTTTTATTGTCGTTAGTCTAAAGTTAAGAATACTCCAAATACCCCACGAACACCTTAAAGGCCTTATTAGCATAAAACCAATAATTTTCCAAATGACTCACCCTTCAAGTAATTTATGAAAATTAAGAATTAGTGATTTTAGTCAAACTAAGTTAGTTGTCGGATAGTCGTAATTAAGCGTAGCGTCTTAGGTGATTTCAAAACCTTCCTAACATGTTAATAAGAATCCACGAACCCTTTTAAATATTTTCAAGTGATTTTTCTGTTAAGTCTTTTGAAAATGGAAGCTTTTACTTGATTTTTCTTAGAAAATTAAGCGACGACTCTCTAAAAACTCGAAAACGAAAAATAATATTTTTTCATGGTGAAGGGAGTCACTCTGGCAGACAAGCGTCAATCATTGATGAAGTATCGCGAGGTACAAATTTTTACACGGTGGAACTGGTAAATTCCACCAGTGAAGAGTTGTCCCCACTGACTCCCATGCCTTTCATGTACAACATGATAACCACTGTGATGCTGCAGAATAGTTTTGAACCAGGTTTCGGATTGGGAAGAAATTCCCAAGGAATTGTTGAGCCTATTCCGGTCCTCGTCAAGGGAGAAAGATATAGTTTGGGGTACATCCCCAGAGATGATGATATGAAGATGAAGAAGAAAAATTATCAAGCATTGGCTAAGCCGATCCCACATCTGTATCAATGTTTCCTAGTCTAGAAGTATGCCGAGCATGAAGACCTTTGGGAAGGAATTTGTGATATCTTCAAGGAGATCGATGTTGTTACTGAGGAAGAGGTCGAGCTAGCTGGTATCTGCGATGCTAAGCTAGGAGGGATGCTGCAGGGCATCATTTTATGCATATTTAAATCAGTGGTAGTTCGGAAGAGGCCCGAGACCCACCATTTTGCATTTTGCTTAACTATTTGAATTTTTGAATTTCCACCGTGATGTTCAAAGAAGGCATTCTGGCCCTATGACATGGCTAAAGTTTGCATCGTTTTCCAATTTGAATGAAAGCCTCTTTTGTTTATAAAATTTATTTATTTACTCATTTGTTATACTTTGATTGTCCAACTTTGTTTGTTTATTGTTTCATTAATGTAAGTTAACACGACAAGACATGAAAGAAGGAAAGGGCTATCTATTGCATTAACAAGAAGTTTACTCCATACGAGTCTCGTTATACTCTGTTGGAGAGAACGTGTTGTGCTTTGTCTTGGCTTGCCCAGAATTTAAGAAATTATCTGTCTTCATACACGACATACTTATTTCCACAGTGGACCCGCTAAAGTATATCTCTCAGAATGCGATGCCGACCAGAAAATTAGCTAAGTGGCAAATGTTGCTGAGTGAGTATGATATTGTGTATGTGACTAAGAAGGCGATAAAAGCACAAGCTTTGGCTGATCATAGGCAAAATATACCGTTGATGAAGAGTATGAACTACTTAAACTTATTTTCACGATGAAGAAGTTTCATTTGTGAGTGAAGACATTTCTAAAACATACCCCGCTTGGAGACTATTCTTTTATGGAGTTGTAAATCATCAAGGTAAAGGTATTGGAGCAGTCTTAGTGTCAGAGTATAGTCAACACTATCCCATGGCGGCTAAATTCCGATTTAATTGCACGAACAACATGACCGAATACGAAGCTTGTATTCTTGGTTTGAGAATGGCCATTGACATGAACATCCACAAGATATTGGTGATTGGAGATTCAGATCTATTGATTCATCAGGTTCATGGAGAGTGGTCCGTGAAGAACTCGAATATTATACCTTACGTACAGTATGTACAGAAGTTGTGCAAAAGATTTCACGAGATCGAGTTCAGACATACTCCCAGAACACAAAATGAGTTGGCCGATACTCTTGCCACCATCGCTTCAATTATTAAATATCAAGATACTGATTAATTGATCCTATGGATATAGAGCTGAAAAAACATCCAGACCATTGTTCACATGTTGAAGCAGGACCAGACGGTTTGCCATGGTATTTCGATATAAAGAAGTATTTGGAGTTCGAGATTTATCCTGAAGATGCTGCGTTCAATCAGAAGAATTCAATATGCCGTATGGCCATCAATTTCTTTCAAAGTGGAGAAATCCTGTATAGGAGGACTCCAGACTTAGGTCTTCCCAAATGTGTTGATGTTGCTGAAGCTGTGAAGCTTATTGAACAGATACATGCCGAAGTTTGTGGCACGCATATGAATGGGATCACTTTGGCAAGAAATATACTTTGAGCCGGTTATTTCTAGATGACTATACAGAATGACTGCTGCAAGTTTGTGCAAAAATGTCATAAATGCCAAGTGCACGGGGATTTGATTCGAGTGCCACCTCACAAACTTAATGCTATGAGTTCACCTTTGCCATTTGTAGCTTGGGGTATGGATGTCGTTGGTACGATAGATCCAATCGCTTCTAATGGACACGGATTTATTTTGGTTGTAATTGATTATTTCACAAAGTGGGTGGAAGCAGCTTCTTACAAGTCGGTAACCAAGAAAATTGTTGATGATTTTGTTCGCAACAATTCGATATGCAGGTTCGGAGTACCAGAATCAATCATTACTGATAATGGTATAAATCTTAATAGTCACTTGATGAAAGATATATGTGAGCAATTTAAGATCATGCACCGGAATTCAAATGCTTATCTTCCCCAAATGAATGGAGTTGTAGAGGCTGCCAATAAGAATATCAAGAAGATTCTAAGGAAGATGATTGACAATCATCGAGGTTGGCATGAGCTATTACCATATGCTTTATTGGGTTATCCAACGACTATCAGACGTCAACTGGAGCTACTCCATACTTGCTAGTGTATGAAACAGAAGCAATTATACATGCCGAAGTCGAAATACCGTCTTTGAGAATCACCCAACAAGTTGAGTTAAGTAATGCCATATGGGTCAGCAAGCGGATTGATCAACTAACTTTGATTGATGAGAAAAGAATGATTGCTTCTTGTCATGGTTAGTTGTATCGACAGAGAATGATTCGCGCTATCCACAAGAGAGTAAGAGCTAGAACTTTTGAAATCAGTCAGTTAGTACTTAAGCGCTTTTTTCCTCATCAAGATAACTACAAAGGAAAATTCGCATCAAATTGGCAAGGACATTACATGGTTCGTAAAGTATTATGTGAAGGTACTTTGGTCCTGTCGGAGATGGATACACCATATGGCCTAAACCTATCAACTCAGACGGTATCAAGAGATACTATGTGTGAAGCATCGGTTTGCATTTCTATTATATACTTGTAATCATTCTGTTTGCTTGTATTTATTTTGCTTAAATTTTTACCCCTCTTTATAATGAACTACGTCTGACCTGAATTCTCGAGAATGAGATACGTAGGCGGCCTATGTCGTCCTCGGTCACCCCATTTATTCCTGTTAACTATTTCTTTATATTTGAACGACGTTCGACCTGAATTCTTAAGAATGAGATACGTAGGTGGCCTATGTCAGTTTCTTACTAATTTTTCTTATTTTGTCAACCTTTGAGGAGGGAACTACATTTGACCTGATTTCTGCCTCAATGGTATACGTAGGCCCCACAACGGTTCGTCCATATATCCCGTAAGATTTCTATTCATCTTTACAATAGAAATTGGGACAAAATTTTTGAGAGAGACTAAGAAATTCTCGAGAAGAAGATGCTTCCTCAATAAGTCAAGGCTAAAGATATTTCTAGATTTGCATTGATTTAGGCTTAGTTTTCTGCCGGTTGAATCTTCCATTCCAATTTTAAGGTCATATGGCTTTGTTTGTTCATATTTGCACATGTGATTAGTGATTCACTTAATGGCATGCTAACATTATAACACACCTGGCAGAGACTAAAGTATGGTATTTGTTCATGTCACATATGCTCAATGATAACTTATTTGTTAGTCTTAATTTTGTTCAAATGAGCAGTTGGTAATTTTTTTATTTTTTATTTCATTCATTTTTTTTAAAAAAAGATAGCTTAATTTTAAAGTAAAATCTGGGAATGTGGATCAAGGCAATTTTCGTCCTTTCTTATTATGGTAAGTAGCTAGAGTAATTGTCCAGGTCATCCAAGATACTAGATTAATCCTCAAATGATTATCATAATTTGCTACGTTAAGTTCTCCATCACCATAATTTTGCTCAATTATTTTTATAGAAATGTATTAGTCTTTCTCATCTCATGCTACTGTGTTTTATTTAGGTTTGACATGTAAAATCTCCCCGGGGTTCACCACGAATCCATCCTCACCCATATCGAGAGGTCCATAAAAACCCAAATGTTTTCTATCTTTATTTCGAGTCAAGCAGTCCATGAAGATTGACGGACGGGTCCCAGAGTATAAAAATTGAAGATAGTCGGAGAAGGTAGATTTGAAGAACCATTTTATTTCATGTTTTCTCATTTCGTATTGTATTTATTTTCGGGCATAAGACCTTGTCGTCTTTACTTTACTTTATTTATTTTGTATAATTATTTGTTTAGATTAGGAAAAATACAAAATGGGTCAAAACCCAAAAAGAAAATGAGTCAAAAACCCAAAACAGGTGGGTCCAAATTCTAGTCCAGGCGAAAAGAAAAACCGGATTTGGACCCAAGTGTCTCTCCCTCTTTGCGTGCTTATAATTATTTACTTGATTGTCATCAGTCTTAGGTTAAGAAAACTCCAAATTCACCGTGAACGCCTTAAAGGCCTTATCAGCATAAAACCAATAATTTTGCAAATCACTCACTTAGATAAGAAGTTAACATTTTAACTCTTTTCCTCTCTAAGTAACTTTCAAAAATTAAGAATAAGCGGTTTTAGCCAAACTAAGTTAGTTGTCAGATAGTCGTAATTAAGAGGAGCATCTTAGGTTCTTTTAAAACCTTCATATGATGTTAATAAGAAACCCCGAACCCTTTTCAATATTTTCAACTGATTTTTCTGTTAAGTCTTTTCAAAATGGAAGTTTTTTTCTTGATTTTTCTTTAAAAATTAAGTTGCGACTCAAAAAAATCGAAAATGAAAAATAATATTTTTTGATAAAACTACTATTATTATTATTATTATTTCTGAAATTAACCATTTTAAATCATTTGGAATTAAGAAGTTCGTTAATTAATTCATGTCGAGGAGCGTCAAAATTGGGTGTCAATGCCTCCCCCTATCTTCTTAGTTGATTTACAACAACCACCAATCTTGAACAGAATTCCAAAATGGATTCGGATTCTTTCATTTTAAAGACATCAAAGTCAACCCTTAGAGTTTGAAGTTTTATCTTCTTTACATTATAAACTTCTTGGACAGAATTTGGTAATTTTCCCACGCTTCTTTCGAGGTGGTTGTTAGCCACCTTTCCAAACATGTCATCATCCAAACATTGATGGATAAGAGTGAGAGCCTGTTATTTTTTGTCTTTAACAAAGTTTCCTCATTTGCGGGTTTTGTATACCTTTTGTTTACAATATCCCAAACATCTTGAGAGCCAAGAATGAATTTCATTCGTAGACACCATTTTCATAATTTTTTCTTGTGAGACGGGGGTATTGGAAGGACAATGGACTATTATTTTTCATGGCTCTGATACCACGTTGTTGAACAAAATAATAATCACACCCAAAATAATGTCCGGAGTAAATAGCAATAGAAAGATAGTAACAACGACACCAAATATTCAAATGTGGTAAATATAATACCCGAATAAATAATACAATAATATTTATGAAAATTTTATAGTGTCAAAGACTACTACTCAACACTCTTTTATTTCTTACAACTCATAATAATATTACTTGCACACTATTTTGTAACAAAACTAAGAAGTATTTTGTAAATTACTTTCTCTACTCTGTATTGCTTCTCTATTTTTGTGTGTCTTCAAGTGTTCAATTACTACTCTATTTATAGAGTTTTTTTGAACACTTGATTACATCATTAATGACATAATGTGGTAGACAATTTCCACAAAAATAGGCTGTCAAACTCTACCAAACTTTGACTACCTACTTCCACAAATGTGGCTACCAATTATCATATTGGTGGCTACCAATTTTAACATTTATGGATAGTAATTTCAACAATTATTGTTGCCAAATTAATTGCTGCCAAGATTTTATTCCCACAATAAACACATAATTGAGTGATAGAATTTCTAGCGATCGAAATCCAAATGGATTTCAAAATTCACGAGTTTAAATCTAAAACATTAATTGAAGTTGTTTTGAAACAAAATCAGTTGGAAGGTCCTATTCCAATTTCACTCATAGACCACCAGTTACTGCGATTTCTTCTCCTTTCATGAAATAATCTTAGTGGACATATCACTTCAACGGTCTGCAATTTGAAAACACTACAAGTGCTAGATTTGTTTTCCAATAATTTGGAGAGAACAATCCCACTATGTTTGGATGAGATGAGTGAACTTTCCGTTATGGATTTAAGAAACAATATTCTTAGCGGGAACAATTAATATTACTTTTAGTATAGGGAACCAGCTTAGAGTCATTAAATTTGACGGGAATAAGCTAGAGGGGAAAGTCCCACAATCTCTGATCAATTGCAAATATTTCGAAGTTCTTGATTTAGGTAACAATGAATTGAATGACATATTTCCTAAATGGTTGGGATTCCTACCGGAGTAGCATATTTTAGACATGAGATCAAATAAGTTTATGTACCTATAAAAGATTCGAGGTTTGTAAACTTGTTTGCTCAAATTTGATCCATATATCTCTCATCCAATGGATTTACTGGAGATTTACAAGTGAGCATTTTCAAGAATTTTGAAGCAATGAAAATAAATGGTGAGAACAATAGAACGTGAGAGCATGTAGTTGATATAGGTTCTCATTATTACATAGATTCCTTTATAGTGAAAACAAAGGGGCTAGATATTGAACTTCCTCGAGTTTTGACTACAAACATAATTA